TTTTAAACGTTTAAGAAAGTGCACTTTTTCAATAAAATTAACCAAAGTGGGATGTCCAGTAGTTTTCACAGAAAGTTGTACAAAATGTGTTCCTAAGAAAACTTCATCTCATGAATTCTTTTTAACCCGGACCCTTGATACATGTACCAGTACCTACCGGGTACAATGTACATACATGTATCTGGAAAAAAAAAAATGGACATCATGCCACCCCAACTGATTCACATCATGCGTGTGAAACAGTTTGACTGATGCTGACTTTGCCTCGGTGACTCTGTGCATTTTGACAGTTTACGTACCGGTACGTGACCACATGCAACGGGAAAAAGAAAAGAAAGAAACGCATGATTGTCACGTAGCGGCATGTGTAATTGATGCTGCGGGCTGGTTTTCGGTCGAGCCCGTGAATATGTAGGCCGATGTAAACACAACTTGACAAGTCCCGATACATTCAGCAGAAAGAGGTGCGCGTCGCTCTGTTGCAAAGTTGACACACCTCAAGGCACAGTTTGCAGTTTCCCCAAAGAACATCCTCTCAGCTTCCCTGGTTAACACTTCACACTTGGAGCTCTGTTGCTCGCAGGACCTGCTTTCATACAAAAATTAACAAACAATTGGCCACTGGGACTACAATGTGACGATTTTTTTTAAATTGATGTGATATGGAAACCCTTAAGATTGCCTATTTAGGGCAACTTACACATTTAACTGTCGGTGCATTGAATGATAACGCTCAGATAGAGCTTCTTTATTTTGTGGCCGGGGTACACGTATCACTTCCGAGTGTTTTTGAGATGGCTGCTTTATTCCTTACGGAGGCTAAACGGCTGCTCGTGTTTCCGATGCTACGGGCTAGTTGATCACAGGTCGGCCATCAGAGGCCTACCGTCTAAGCAGCCATCTTGCAATCGCTCTCGCAAGGACCCAGGACAGAGTTCACTTGGGGGCGCTTTTGCTCAAACGGAACATTCGGAATCCGACAAGTGTTGATGAGACGGTCTGTTTTGTGCTGGAAAATGTGCTGAAAATTGGAAAATGATGTCGTGGTACATCATGTGACCATTTTTAACCTATGAGGAGCCTGGAAACTGGGGAATCCCTTATCGATGCGTTGGTTTCTTCTGCGCCAGTGTGATGTCACGTAATGAGCGGCGCTATTTGCTAGTTGGCTTATTTGCATAATTTATGTCCGTGAATTCTGATAGCGATGTTTTGATATAGTGAGAAGTTTGTTCGGTGTGTACGTGAATTTACACAAAAATAACTAAATCATGACTTTTTAAAAAATCCCTACCTACCGACCCTTCCTTTTTGGCTGTTATTCTGAAAATACGACATGTATTTATTTAAAAAAATACCATAAATCCCTACCTACCCACCCTTTCTTTTTTGGCTAGCCTACCGAAAATGCAATTATTTATTTCTTACATGGGGGGGGGGGAGGCCTAGTAGTCCCTCTTCAGCTTTCAAGAACTTTGCTGGATCCCAAAGATTCCAACAGAACCCAACAGCTGGAACATGAAGGGCTTTTTGATCATTCCTCATCATATCATAAAGTCTTAAAGATTAGATCTTGTATGATACAGTACATGTGCGTGTACATTGTACATTTAACTTTAGGACAACTAAAAGAAAATTGCCATTATAATGATCTGTATAATAGAGTTAAAAAGTACCATTACTTTTCTTCTTTTTTGTCAAGGAAAAACTCATCATACAGTTGGGAGTTTGTTCACCCAATAAATGTCCTAAATGACCAGCATGTCCTTGCCACGCACATCACTTGAAAAATGAAATGAAAACATAAATCCACACAGGTAATAAAAAATTTAATGGAATCCTTGAAATGCACCTTTTATGTTTCACTCGCCTACCTTCATATTCAGTCATTGTATTGCCATTTCTATAGATGTTTCAGGGTCTTTTGAGTTTTTTTTTTAAAATGTAACTGGAAATTTCCATATTCTGGAGGTACCGGTACATGTAAACAGAGGCAGAAACTTCAGTGTGAGGAAACACAACATGGGTATTAGGGCTGTGCGTCAGAGCCTGAGTACCCGAGTACCCGACCGCTGATGTCAGGAACCGGTTCCAGAATATGGGATCGGGTACCCGTAACCAATTTTACAACTTTTTTGGCAATTTCTCAGACAATAAAAAAGAAAGGTTTTCATTGTCAGTTGTGGGGAATTTTCAAAATGAAAATCAGTGTACATGGAAAAACAGAACATATTTTTCACGTTTATGATGCTGGCAAAAGTTGCAGTTTTCATCATAAAGCTCGCTGTACACACTTGTGTCTTACTGCATTGATGCACAAATGTGGTAGTATTATCGTGCGCACCTTTATGAACAATCTGAACAGCAACTTCTCGAGATTTGAATTTTGAAATTGGGTTTCTTTTATGGGTACCCGTGTTTGTTTGTTCCAGTACACCCCTAAGCATGGGTATTGTATTTTAAAATATAAATACCGCTAACTGAAATTGATGGAATATTCCATAACGATTCCCTTTGGAACTCTGGCACTCTTGAGATTTTAACATATTAAAAGGTGTTTTTACCTACAAACGTTTTTACAAAAGAAATGACAAGGGTACACTAACCCTAACTCCCTAGGCCTTTTTGCTACAAAATTCCGCAATTGGCCTCATGTAAAAATAGCATATCCTCAATCCTGCGAATTCCTCCATTATTTCTTGAATATGGTCCGTGGAGGGGTGACCACTGCCTGAATCCTGCAAAATCCTGCGGCTGTGTCTGTCAATATGTTGAGGCTTGGCCAGTGACATCCTGGAGCAGTATACCTTGGATTTCAAGCATAATCCAGGTCTATATTTATGCATGGCTGAGCAAAAACAACACAAGGTCCTGCCCAAGACCTTGACAAAGTGCATCTTACGAAATCATGCAGTAACGCACTTTTGCCATGTAACCTCAATCCTCCAAATTCCTCCACTTTGGCAAAGAGGATTTTGAAGGATTCAGGGCGGCTAGGGTCAAGGGGTGCCTTCAGGCAAATACAAACATAGACCCTCCACGAAAGTTGCTCTTGGGCCCTCGACATGACAGCCCCTGCAAAACCTTCTGCCGATTATTTTGTGGAATTTTTCATTTTCCCTCAATCTCATCCTTTGTTTTTATTTTGCCCCAGATCTCCCAAACCTTAAAAATATAACCAAAAGATAAGAAAACTCAGGTAAAAAAGTGTAAACCACAGCATGGCTGTTTAATTTGTACACCTCTGTTACAAGAGAAAGAAAACGGAAAGTGATCATAAATGTACAGCCTATTGGTATGTACATATTCTCACTTGAATGTTTGACCTGCAAAATGCGACTAACGTGTGTGTATAATGTCCGACTGGTGTAAAGTTGCCCGTTTATGAAGACCATATGGACATGTATATGTTCGCCACCTGTCTTTTGGATTAATTACGTATCTCTGCCTTGCAGGAGAAACATTTGAAAACTGTGAAATTTGTTGACATCGAATTCCAGCTTGTATTTGTTCGTATGTGTTCTTTGAACGTTTGTTTCTTTAAAACTAATTATGTTGGTTGAGAAAGGGATATGCCAATTGATGGAGAAAAAATGTTGCCAGCATGATAACATTCTGATTACCTGAAAGGACCTTTGTTCATTTTTTTGTTATCTAATCTTTACAGGAAACAGAAAGTTAAATTTTTGAAAAAGTTGAATATTGTTGACATGACGCTCTTGGTGTTTAGTCCTTTTTGTGTGTGTGTGTCTTGGCGTGGGGACTGCTTGCCATGACAATTTCTTATGATGTTTGCAGATAAATTTGAGTAAATTCACCAGTGGGTCATACATCTGTCAAATTGTGTTTGGAATATATGTAGGTGGGGGAAAAATGCGAACCGAGCAAAATGTTGCCGGAAAGATAACATCAAGATTACTGGCAAGGCCTGTTAGTTGCATTTAATTAAATTATAATTATCTGGTACCCACTCAAAAATGTATTGCAACATTTTTTTTTGGTATTGCAAACAATACTAAGTCAAGAATCTATAGATAGGAAGGGCATGATAGGTTTTCCTATTTTAACTGGATTTCTGTTTTTTGGTTTATTTTCTCATTTTAATTTTGTTATTTTCTATTGGGGCAATTCCGTAAAATCCAACGTACCTTTGTACATCCGACCACAAGGTGTACATACATGTACAAGTTGGTTGTGGTAATGGTACGTTAGTTTGGTGTGTAATTGTTTTCTACGCATTAGAAATTATTAGTGATGTACTGTCACATTCACTTTTCCAACGGCAGCTCATTAAAGTGTCTGACGACACACATGTCCAACTTTATGGAATTGCCCTATTATTTTCTCGATTTTCAGCGTTCTGTACTGCAGGCATTACCATTTTGGTTTTTTTTTTTTTTTTAAGGTATTTTTTCTTCCAAGAGTCAGATATCATTCGTGATGGAAGCTTTTAGGTAGTTAAGGAAATGCCTAAAAAAAATTTTTTTTTTTTTTTTTTTAATCATAGCTTGTGGGCACTTATCAAAACTACTGCAATAATATCGTACATGTAAATCTTTACATACACTTTTGTGAATGTGTATCCCAAAGTGTTATTTATAAATTTCTCTTTCATTTTGCTTGGTATTTTTCTGGCATGATTTGGGAATTTTTTTTTATTTTCTCGAGATGGGATTTTGGTTTCTGGAATAACAATGCGGAGTGAATGGTGCATTCATTCAGCATAATGCATAGCGAGAGAGGCTGTTCCACTGTACATGCACTCCATTGGTCCACTGGCTAAAAAGTGACCTCTGCATGGTTTTGCAGCAGTGGTGTGTTTTTGTGCTTGGGCCGGGGCCACATAATGCACATGTTGTGCTCTGCCTATTAAGCTGCAGGTCACTGTTGACTGAATCTGTTAGACACGCGCATGAAAAAAAAAAAAAAAAATTATATCCCCCACCCTCATGTGAGTGCACAATAGGCATTGCCCGGCCTGGGAGTATAATAATATGGAAATGGCCCAGCACATTGGTGCGTGCAAGGGCATATCACGTATCCATCTTATATCAGCTCCGTGATGAATGCTGCGGCAACAATTGCTTTTTATGAAGCCAGGCACCAATGGACGAGGGCTAGCTGACGCCATGTCACCGCTGACCGCGCCACAGATCACCGACATGTAATCATTCATATCCAGTATTTTTTTGTGCCGAAGGGGTCACCATTCACTCTTTTTTTTATTGGGCGGGCAACTAGTGACCGAACCTTTAGTGAAGAAAACCTTAAAAAAAAACAACCACAAAGACCATCAAGAAACGTCCTCCAAAAAACCCACCAAATGTAAAAAAGAATATATCTCAGGAATTGTGCCACGATGTGGAAGTGTTATTATTAGCTACGGAACGGATCTTTTTCCTCGATTGTGGAATCCGGTCAGATATGCGGTCATCCTGTGCTGTGGTACGTATGCTAACCGTTTCTCTGTTCATGTGCTATTGAAACCTCTGCTATGCTAGGACCATGTGTGTGTGGCGTGCGCTGAGCAGTTGTGAGTTTGTGCATCTCAGACCCTTTGGCTATTTCTTGAGTATTCAGTTAAAAACAAAAACAAAACTGGAACAGTTAAAGTACAATGGCAATTTTTGTACAGTGCACACATATTTTGATTTTTTTTTTTCCTGAGATTTTTTTTGGGCGCAAGTTAATTGCACAAGTTGCCCACTGTTCATGTTTGTCAGAAAGAGCGTTGATAGGCCTGAACATTAATTGATGTTGTATTCACTTTGCCTGCCTTGAAATGACATTGTTTGGAAACATGAATACGGCAGACCTTGCTACTTGCAGGTTCAACTGTTCATGTTCACAACATTCATGTACAATTCTACACATACTGACACGTATCAGTTCCAGTTCATGTTAATTAGGCATAATGGTGATAACGGTTTCCAATACAATGTGCATGTTTTTTTCTTTCGTAAATTTTTAATCACGTGTATCCATGAACATGTACATGTACGTACATAACTTTCAGTAACAATCATTGTGTACAGTTCTATATCTACATGTATGTATAAATTCTCAGTTGGATTAATGTTAAGTGTCACTGTTGCCTCTTTCTGAGTTGGATATTTTCACTTGTACATTTTGTGTACTGTGATGAAATTGGCAGGCCTACACCGCATTAGGCCCCCCAAAAAGTTCTCCGGTTTCTGGTATGGGCGCGCGTCGCCGTAGCCATGCGCGTCGGCAAAATGAAAAAGTTTTTTTTTTTCAATAAAAGATGATGTCGCAAAACTCACTGGTTTGACTGGAATCCTGCTGCTGCACAATTTTAACGTGTTTTTAGATTGGGTTATGGTCGAGAATAAGCTTTATGTGGCCTCTCTGGACTCCCATATATTTGCACTAAGTTTAGTCGGGCACCATTTGCAGTCATCAGCCGACATTTGAAGCAAAAAAATCAGGTAAAAAAAAAAAAAGCCGCGTCGCCGCACCACTTTTTGGGCAAGCTCCATACCAGAAACCGGAGACTTTTTTGGGGGGGCCTTATGGGGAAGTTTTTATTGTTAGGCAAATTAAGAGTTATGGGGACTTTCTGCTGTCCCCACAGCGTTTTCGGTCCCCACAAATACAACGTGGCGACGAGTGTACATGTACATGTCCCCACAACTATGGTAAACAAAATGTAAACATGACAATGTGAATTTTTCTACCACATTTTTGAAGTTTCTGCTCTGTCACACTTGATGTATGTGACTGCAATTAGCTGAGTTTCTAGTGCTTTCTACAGCGACTTTTTCATTGCCTTTTGCCATTGCTTCAGTTGATAATTGTAAATTGCTTTGTTGGAGAGGGGATAGAGAGATGGGTGTTGAAGACCTTTTTTTTTTTTTTTTTTTTTTTTTTTTTTTGCCGCAAGCATTTTACCCGGCCTGTTTGTGTGTTCATGTACATGTACGCTGAGTTTGATCCCCAAGCTTGAACAGATTCAGCCACACATTTCGGTCAAACTAAACGCCTGGTTGCCTCTGAAAAGGAATCAGGAATCAGGAATCAAAGAAAGTGAAGGGGTTATGGGCTCAAGGGGGGAAAAAAAATCGAAAATGGAGAAAGAAGCTATGTGTGTGTATGCAGGTGCTGATAATAAAACTCTTTATAGAATTCAATGGGGTACCTCTGTGCGTGTGTTTGCAACCTGTAGTCCAAGAATTGGGATGGGGTGAAAAATTGAAAGTCATCTCTCAACAAGAAATGGAATTTTTTTTTCTTTTCTTTTCAAAAAAGACCCATTGTGCATTTATCAGGGGGAATAAATTCTATACAAGGTAAAAAAAAAAAAGCGTTGGCGTGGGGTTTTGTACATGTACAACATTGAAATGTGGGATTAGAGTACAGTAATTGTAGGCAGCTTAAAAAAATGACGAATCTGACTCACGCTGAACTTACGAAGCGACCTACATGTACATGTATCGGTACAATGCACACATGTACGTTCTTATTCATTTTGCGTTTACAGGAAATGGGCTGTTCCATCTGGAGAGGGTGGAAAAAAGTTAATTTTGGGGGGCTTTATCGTGCGTCTTTAAAGGGAAAATACAACATTTGCAAACATCGAAAAATAAAACTACCAAGTTTTTACGAAATACCTTACTAGGATGTTGGTAAATGACAGTCTAAAGCATCCTGTAAAATTATGGCACCTGGTGTGAAGCCATTTTCAAGAAAATGGTATTTTTGTATACATTTCCAACGGTGGTCGGCCGACCACCGTTGGAAAAACCCAACTATCTTTCAACTTCTGCTCCAAATTTACCATTTGTTTCAGTCCAAATTGTGTTTGCTACTGGGTACATGTACATGTTCATGAACGGGTGCTGGCCAGCTAGACTTGTTCCCTTACCTTACAATTTTCCGGCATCTATAAATTGATCCATTTCATGTTTAGTGGAGTCAGGGAACCGACTACTTGAACATTTTTTGTTTTTCTTGGTTTTTCCAGCATTTTCGGACACAAAACTTCAAACATGTCAGTGTAACAATATTTTGTTCGATTATACTAACCCCTCAACTAGTTCATTTCTGAGAATTACAGCGAAAGCCAATGATGTACATTCCCTTTAAAGCTATAGTCCATCATTTGCAGCCATCCGAAAAGTAACTGGCGTAATTATTGTTGAAAAACAAACTTGGTTGAAAGATAGTAAGGGAACTAAACTCCCTGTGAAATTATTCCTTCTGGGAAGCTGTCATTTTGAAGTAATCAACGAAAGAAGGCATTTCCAATGGTGATTCTTAAGAAGGACCGTAGGAAAATTTAAATTAGTAGTTCGTTTTGTTATTCAGCGCAGCGTGCACAAGTATTGGAATGACGCACACGCGCGCGCGGTTGTTATAATTCGTCGGATTAGTGCGCGACGTCGCGTATAGCTGCAATTCAAAACAATTCAAAACATGATTCAGTAACTTTTGATTTGAAATTGAGATCTTAGAATGCTGTTTTTCTCGATATGTACAGCTGAAGCTTAGCTGAAACTTCATCAGGTTAGTTGATCAGTATCCTTCATTAGATTTTGAACACTTTTGTTGCTTCAAACGAACAAAATGCACAAATTACAAATGATGGACTATAGCTTTAACTTCAATGTGCACTTTTCCAGATTACACTATTCCTGACCAATTTTTTTTTTTTTTCATGAGTAAAGTGACATGAAATCCAATTTTAGTCAGTGGCTGTGTTATTACATGTATATTTGCTTACTGCAGTCGTCAGTTAAAAATAAGGCCATTTTTGTAATGTTTCTTTTCCAACTTTTGCATACTTACATGTAAAAATATGTCAATTCCACATTGTACCATGTATATTTAGTGATTAATTGTTCATAGCCCATGACTGTTACAGGCCAATTTCCTTCACGTGTCATCTTTCAACTTTCTTCTTAAAATGTGTAAATTGGTTCTACTCTTGTCATACACTCAACCAAAAAAGAAAGTCCCCCCTTCCAAAACTTTTTTGTCTAACTCAAAAACTACTGAGCACCTCTTGCTCAAATAACGACTGATCAGTACAGAAATTCCTTAACAATCCAGCCATACTCTTTATTAGGTCCAAAACAGTGACAATGTGTACGAATTGATGCAATTTATGACAAATGATACCAAAAACAGTTGCACTTTTGTATACGTGCAAGTTGTGGTTCACACTCACCTTGCACGTATACAAAAGTGCAACTTTTTTTCTGTACCATTTGTCATAAATTGCATTATTTTCTACACATTATTACTGTTTTGGGCCAAACCAAAAAGAGTATGGCTGGATTGCTAAGGAATTTCTGTACTTGATCAGTCATAATTTAAGCAAGATGTGCCCAGTAGTTTTTGAGTTAGACAAAAAACTATGAAGATGGGACTTTTTGGGGGTTGAGTGTATTTATAGCACGGTACCCTATTTTGTGTACATGTACACGTAACTGATTTTGAGATTTTTCAACTTTGGAAGTTTGGTTAACCTTTTACCAGAGCGCCTTACAAACAAATGCATGTTTCATGTTTTTGGCCACACCATGTAATCACTCGTTCACCCCATGTGCTAACGAATTGGTACGCAGACACACAAGATATTGTGGTTTGGACATAATTCTTTCGTGCACTTTGAGGGAGGGAGATGTGACTAAACGTGTAAGCATTCAAAAACATCTACGCTGTCTTTCGAAATGAAACAAAACCTTCACAGTGGAATCTGGAGTGACCTTTTTAACTGAGATATCTCCAGCCTATAAATACATGTATGCACTAAACAAACTTGACTTCCCCTTGATCATGTTGATCGTGCACTTTGACAACTTAACTAGGGAGGCAGATGCATGAAGTTATTGTGTGACATTTTGTAGTATCTGGGATTATTAATAAGGGAATAAACATACATGTTTATGGCCTGTTTTTAAACAAGTGCGTTTAAAACTAGCTTGGAGCGTGAAATGGTGGGGGGGGGGGGACCAATGGGGGCCATGCGCCCCCCCCCCCCAAAAAGAACCCAATTATTTTTTTTCTTTAAAGTGACGTGGCAAAAAAGGCAGCCACTGCATACACCGCCATCTTTTGCTAAAACAAATTGGTTATAAAGTGGTCAGAAATTGCCTCAGATCGCACAACAGAGCATCTAGAATCCAACAATTTTCCGCGGCCCTCAAACAGGCTACGAACCCCACACAGTAAATTTTGGAATCATCTTTTTTTGGGAACAAATTATTTTTTTTTGGGGGGGGGGGGGGGGGAGGGAGGGCCCTACCCCAAATTGTGTCCTGAATCCGCTAACATTACCAGAGGTTTTTCGGTGAAAAGAGGGATGACCCAAGGTTGGATTTACTGACTGACGCACTGGTACATTTGTCATTGAAAAACCAGACCCTGTGTCAAAATGTAAATGAAAAGAAACTCATTTCATTTACATCATACATGCAGCC